GTACCGCACCGAAGTGGACCTGCGTGGAGACCACACCACTCCAAGTGTGGAGAGCAGGACCTTCGGAGGCTGGCTCAAGGGCGCAGGCGTCTCCAGGGAGGCCGAGCCCGGCGCCTGTGGCCTTAGCAGCTTCCCCGACCACACACCAGCACACCAACGTCGCCGTTGGGGATTGTGCGCAAGGAAGCCCTAGTGCTCCCATCCGGGTACCCAGTCAAGAGCCCGAGCAGGGGGACGAGGCAGGGGAGAAGGGGTGCCGAATATGCCAATCCCTAAGCTACAGTGAAAACCCAGGCATTGGGCGGGCTGTGCGTGCTCAAGCGCCTGTAGTCCCAGCACTTTGGGAGGCTCAGAGACGGTGCGGATCAGCTGGAAGGTCAGCGAGATCGAGAGCCATCCTGGCTAACAGCGAGTGAAACCGACCGTCTCTCTTTACTAGAAAAAAAAATACAAAAAACTGAGGGCGGGCAGAGGTGGTGGGGCTGTAGTCCAGCTATTCGGGAGGCTGAGGCGGAGGAATGGCGGGTACTATTAAACCCAGCGAGGCGGCAGTTGCGAGTTGGCTGGATCCGCCACGCCCCAGCCTGGGGACAGAGTAGTCCGTCTCAAAAAAAAAAAAAAATTAAAATTAAAGAAAACCCAGGCATGAAGCGGCGTGCGGGTGCCCCTCGTGCCGAGAAAGGGAAAGGACAGGAGGGTGTGCAAGGACAGGAGGGTGTGCAAGGACAGGAGGGTGTGCAAGGACAGGAGGGTGTGCACAGGCGGGCTCTGCTCGTGGGGCAGAGGAGACTCAGCCAGGAACCGCACTCAGGGAGGGCCAGGCTCGCGCCTCTACCTGGAAGGGGTGCTGCAGCGCCTCCAGCACCGTGATGCGGGACTATGCTCTGAGCAGCCAGTGGCTTGAACAGCCCAGCCTCGATGAAGCGGGCCACGGCAGCTGTCCCATTCTTGGCAGAGTAGACCCCGCCAGCCAACAGCGTCAGCCCAACCACCTGCAGCGGAGACACCGCACTGGCGTGCCTGCCCCACCCTTCCTCCCTCGTCGAGGGAGAGATGCACGGGGCTGCCCCACCCTCTCTCCGCCCAAGGGAGCAGCACAGGGCTGTGTGCTGGCAGCACAGGAACCCGAATTCCCGGCCGGGAATCCCACAGCCACGCGGTTACAGGAGGCAGGCGGGGCCGTCACAGCGCCCTCGCTCAGGGCCATTTTCTCTGCAACTGGCAGCATAAATCCTGCAAAGCCCCGGTCGCTGAGCAGGGCCCTGGGCAGACTCAGCCAGATATGTCACAGGGCCACACCCTCTGTTACTTTCTTGGCCACTAAAATGGTACTTTATTCCTGGAAAACAAGGCTGACCCGAAATCTCTAACTTGTTTTAAAAATCAATTAGGCCGACTGGGCGTGGTAGCTCAGGCCTGCCATCCCAGCACTTTGGGAGGTCGAGGCAGGCGGATCACCTGAGGTTGGGAGTTGGAGACCAGCCTAACCCACATGGAGAAACCCCATTTCTATTTCTACTAAAAATACAAAAAGTTAGCTGGGCATGATGGCACATGCCTGTAATCTCAGCTACTTGGGAGGCTGAGGCAGGAGAGTTGCTTGAACCAGGGAGGCAGAGGTTGCAGTGAGCCCAGACCGCGTCATCGCACTCAAGCCTGGGCCACAAGAGTTAAACTCCATCCCAAAAAATAAAAAAAAAAAAGAAAGAAAAATCGTTTATGCCAGGCCCGGTGGCCCATCCCTGTAATCCCAGCACTTTGGGAGGCCAAGATGGGCAGATCACCTGAGGTCAGGAGTTCGTGACCAGCCTGGCCAACAGGGTGAAAACCCATCTTCACCAAAACAGAAAAATTACCCGGGCACGGCGACCTGCACCTGTAGTCCTGGCAACAGGAGAGGCTGAGGCAGGAGGATGGCGTGAACCCGGGAGGCGGAGCTTGCAGTGAGCCGAGATGGTGCCACCGCACTCCAGCCTGGGGACACAGTGAGACACTGTCTCTAAATACAAACGGAAGTCAACGGTGCATTAAGCAGCTCCCTCGTGTCCTCACGTGACACCGTCTCACCAACACGGAAGGCAACGCCACCTTCGACATTCCCCGTCACACTGGCGACGCCACAGGCAGGCGCTGCAGTCACAGCTCAGGGCGCCGGCACCACGGCGGAGCAAGTGCCCACTGCGTGGCAGGCACCTACTGTGTGCTGGGCACCGGGGGACGGAGGACGCAGTCATGTGCGACGTGGTGTGCCACCACACTAGGCTGGCGCCTGCGCACAAAGAGTGAGGCTGTAAACGAGAGAGGAATCTGTGAACTTCAAACTCTCAGGGTTTTCTGAGGAATAAAGGTTTTTGCAAAATGGAGTCAGGGTCACCTTCTGTTTTCTTTTTTTTTTTGAGAAGGAGCCTCGCTCTGTCCCAAGGTGGGAGTGCAGTGGCAGGATCTCAGCTCACTACAACCTCCGCCTCCTGGGTTCAAGTGATTCTCCTGCCTCTGCCTCCTGAGAAGCTGGGATGACATGCACGTGCCATGTGTAGAGATGGGGTCTCACTGTGTGGCCCAGGCTGGCAACTGTGTTTTCTTCTCCCAGCTTGAGGAGCAGCCCCCACCAGCAGGTCCAATTTGGGCTTGTTCCGTGCTGGGAGAGCTCCAGGGCCTGTGCAGAGCTAGCAGGGACAGGACCCGGGGATAGGATCCGGGGTTCCAGGAGGCCCCCACAAGCTGCCCCACAGCCACCTGCCAGCCTTGCCCGGGACACGCACGTTTACCGTGGCTGTCACTGTGTCCCGCTCTGTCACAAAGGCACGAAATCTTTCCCCAAACACGGTGACAGCCATCCTGCGGGGAAAGCAGTGGTGTGACCAGGACGGACACGAACATCCGAGCCACGCAGCAAGAGCAGATTGAGGGTGAGGCCCTGATACAGCGGCCTGGTCGTGCCAGGACAGAGGGGCAGTGCCCTCACCAAGGCACCAGCCTACAGCGGCCAGGCCTGGGAGAGCTGGAGAGCGCCTACGACCAGCGACTCACACCTGCGGGGCCCCATCTGCGGCTGGCCTGGGCAGCGCTCACCTGATGGACGCCAAGAAGGTCTGATGGTGCTTCTGCACGGACTCCTCCTGCTTCCGTACGTTCTCCTCATTGACAAGTTGCTGAGAAGTCACAGAAAAAGAGAAAAGCCTTTAAAACCAGAAAAATGCTCAACACCGATGCAGAGGTTGTGTCTGCCCCAGGATGGGAGGGCTCCAGGCGTCTCGGGCACCTGGGGCCCTGCAGATGCCACAGCCGGACACAGACACAAGTGACATCGCCCGGGACGGCAGTCGCTGAGGGGCTGCTTTCAGGAGCCCAAACTCCCCAGCGGCAGAAACAGCCCCCACTGCGGCTTCCCTGAGAAGGGCCACTGCGCGGCAGACCTCCCAACACCACCGCCCTGATTCACGCTGTGCTGAAGGAAGCCTCTGTCTTCTGCCAAGAAAACGTTAAAGCTACAGTGGCCACAACAGGCAACGCGTGAACCCCGCCTGTGAGCTCAGGACTGAGGGCGACGGGCCGGGCGCGGTAGCTCACACCTGTAATCTCAGCATTTTGGGAGACCGAGGCAGGTGGATCACTTTAGGTCAGGAGTTCAAGACTAGCCTGGCCAACATGGTGAAACCCCATCTGTACTAAAAATATAAAAAAGCAGCTGAGTATGGTGGCGGGTGCCTGTAATTCCAGCTACTCGGGAGGCTGAGGCAGGAGAGTCACTTGAACCCAGGAGGCGGAGGTTGCAGTGAGCTGAGATCGCACTACAGCACTCTAGCCTGGGTGACAGAACGAGACGCCGTTTCAAAATCAATAAAATAGAAAAAATCCTGCTGAGCTCAAAGAAATGAGGTGAGAATGTCAAGAAGATCTAGGCCCTCCAGACGACCAGACACCCTCACCAACACTGGTCCTCCCTCTCGGGTGGCACTGCAGCAGCGTCTCTCACCTCCCCTTGGAATGAGGCATCCAAGCCCTGCCCTGGGCCCCACTGCTGCCCATGTACACGCCCCTGGCCCTACCCACTGACAGTAGCCCACCAATCTCCACGCTCGAACCCCATGTGCACCCCGGCCTCCCCACACACACCGGCTCCACTCACTTTGAGCTTGGACTGTTGCTCTGGCTGCAAAGTCGGCTCCTGCATCTGCACCAGATTCATGGTGTCCTTCGACATGGCCTGCGGGCGCAGAGGCACGGAGGGCAGGTGTTAGGATACGCGGATGACTGGGCAGGCATGCACACCAGACGGGGGGCTTTCACACAGCCACACCTGGACCTCAAAGCCCCCAGCCCTGCCTGAAGGGGTGGCCTGCCCCTCCACACCTGTGGGCGTTTCTCGGTAGGTGGAACGAGAGACTTGAGAAAATAAATGAGACACAGAGACAAAGTATAAAGAAAGAAAAAGTGGGGGGCCAGGGACCGGCGTCAGCCATAAGAGGACGCCACGCCGGCACGGCGGTCTCTGAGTTCCCTCCATAGTATTTATTTGGGATCGATGTATCTTACCATTCTTAGAAAAGGAGTGGCAGGGATAATAGGGATCATGGTGGTTGGAAACCGGAACTGTCGATTCCTTCCTGGGCAGGGTCGCGGCGAAGGATCACCGACAGCGAGATCACAGCAGAGAGTTATTTATTACTGTATGCGGCGGCGTGTAGGGTCGGCGGGAAGAGCTCTAAGTGGCCTGGGAACCCCACTGCTGTGCTACAGGCGTGTTGGTATATAGAACAGCAAGTAAACACAGCTTGTATGGCGCGGAATTCAAACAAAGCTTAACGCGGCAAATGGTTTGGTCTAGCTATGGCGCTGAGCGAAGGTGTTTATCTAATTGCGTTAGAGTCAGGACCTATTGATGTTTTTTCCTGGTAGTTGTTGATTCGGACTTCTCCGGTAGGCATGGGTGGGGACCCCGGAAGTGGCAGGGTGGGACCCCATGAGGTTGTTTCCCGGAATTGGCAGGGTGGGACCCTATCAGGGTGGGTCCCTATCGAGGCAGGGTGGGACCCTATCCAGAGCCACCTGGTGTTAAAAAATTTTTTATATATGAGGCCTAGTTTCAATAGTAGGGAGAAGGTCAGCAGTAACACATATGAATAAAGATCTCTGTGACATAAGTTTAAGGAAAAATGTCTTTATATGCATATGCAAACATCTCTAGAAATCTTTTCAGTGCAAAAAGAGCAGCATTGCGCTAGCCCGTCCCACCTTTTGCCCTAAGGCGGTTTTCTCCTTTCTCAGTAAACAGAACATCTCTGTTTTACACTGAGATGTTCCATTGCCCAGGGACAGGCAGGAGACAGATGCTTTTCTCTATCTCAACTGCCAAGAGGCCTTCTTTCTTCTTATACTAATCCTCCTCAGCACAGACCCTTCATAGGTGTCAGGCTGGGGGAGGATCAGGTCTTTCCCTTCCCACAAGGCCATATTTCAGACAACCACATGGGGAGAAAGCTTGGACAATACCTGCTTGGACTGAAACTAGGCCTCACTAAACCTAAAAAGTTAGCACCAGGTGGCCCTCGATAGGGTCCCACCCTGCCTCGATAGGGTCCCACCCTGATAGGGTCCCACCCTGCCAATTCCGGGAAACAACCTCATGAGGTCCCACCCTGCCAATTCCAGGGGTCTCACCCTGCCTCGAAGTTCCCGGAATCAACAACTCCAGGAAAGAACCTCATAAGGTCCTGCTCTAACCAATTAAACCAAGACCCCTTGCTCAGGCTATAGCTAGACCCAATCATTTTACGCCTTAAGCTTTGTTTGAATTTCGCGCCATAAGCTGTGTTTGAACTTGTGTTTGCCTATATAAACAGCCTGTAGCAAGCAGTCGGGGTCCCAGGGCCAACTTAGAGCTTGGGACCCTAGCGCGCTAGTAATAAATAACTCTCTGCTGTGAACCTCGTGTCGGTGATCCTTCGCGGCGACCCCTGCCCAGGAGGGAATCGAGAGTTCGGTTCCAACAGGACAATACCTAGCTTTCCTAAGCAGAGGTCCCTGCGACCTTTGGCAGTGTACATGTTTTTCTTAATCTCAAGTACCCAGGGACATGTACACTTGAGATTAAGAAAATGGTGATGACTTTTCACAAGCATACTGCCTTGAGGCACTTGTTTAACAAAGCACACCCTACACAGCCTAAAATCCTTTAAACCTTGAGTCACCACAGCACATGTCTCTTGCAAGGACAAGGTTGGGGATAGGGTCACAGATTAACAGCATCTCAAATGCAGAAGAAAGTGGAGTCTCTTATGTCTACTCCTTTCTATATAGACACAGTGACAGTCTGATCTTTCTTTTCCCTACACTGCCTCACCATCCTCCTTCCCAGTCACACCTGGCGTGACGATGCCCCGTCCCCAGCACACGGGCTGATGCATTTGTGGGGTTTTATCCCCCAGGGATGGTCTTGGAGGGTCACATCGGGAAGGCCGTCCCACGTGGATGGTAGGAGGATATTTCCCAATTCAACAGAAAGTCAGGTGATGGCTAAAGGGTCCTCTATTTTTTCACATTACAAACGCTTTTCCTAAGCTTCCAATGGCTATTGTCGTTGATCTGCTATCAGGCACGTGCAGGCAAGAACGGGAATCCATAAGAATCGGATACCAGCCAACACGCCCAGGGTGACGAGGGCAAGCGTACGACAACGTCCCCAGTTACATTTTGTTCCTCGACCGCACGGCGAGCTGACGCCGCGAGCGCCATCGGGACGCCCACCCGCCCCGTCCCAACCCCGCCCGGCCGCCCAAACGGTGGGGCAGGGTCCAAACCAGCCCCGCGCCACCGCGACACGCGCTAGGCGCTGCCACCACTGGCTTCCCCCGCACCTCGCCAGAGCCAGCCACTGTCCCCCCAGTGCTCGTGCGCCGGCCGAGCGGCCCCTGCCTGCCACACGCCTGCTGCGTCTCCGCACCCACCTGCTGTTTCTCATGACTTTCTAACACAGAAAGCCCGGGCCCAAGCCTCGCCACTCCGCCAGACCCTCAGCGGGCAGCTCCCAAAGCGCGGAGGGAATGTGCAGACCCTGCGCTGCCCTGT